AATGTCCAGAGGACCAGATTGAACTTTTTTGGATTAGTCTGCATTTGTTTTTCTATCACTATCAAGATTAAATTATTATGCATGTATCTGATTGTACTTATTTCGTCCTTCAAAATACAGAACTTGAGAACAATAAACACAAACTGTGAAGAAAAGAATTGAAAGAACTGAAAAAAACATGGATGCATGTCTTCAAGTTGGTAAAAATCGGAGACAAACCAGAAGGTTGTAGGACATATTTTTGTGGACCGATGAACTCAACATAAAAACAAAAGAAAAGGGTTCTGGAGAACCCGCTTGCCCAGATGAGATGCATGCTGTGGGGTACGTCATGGATCCGTAGGGAGTGTGACAGTTGATGTGCTTCTCAGTCCTGTCTCAGGAGGACGTTGAAGACGTTTACATACTTGGATTTATGATAGCAGGGACTAGGGCTGCAACTAACGATTATTTCAATAATCGGTTCATCGGCCGATTATTTCTTCGATTAATCGATGAATCGGCAAAAAAAATAATACAAATGTTTTAATTTCCACCCTTTTATTCCAAAATTGAACATTTGACTGACATAGCAATTCACACAAAAAACAGGTTGGTACATGACTATTCTGTTAGTAAAATCCATCCATCCATCCATCCATTATCTTTACCTGCTTATTCCATTTTGGGTCATGGGGGTTGCTGGTGCCCATGTCCAGCAATCACTGTGCGAGGGGCGGGGTACACCCTGGACGGGTCGCAAGTCCATCACAGGGCCACATAGAGACAAACGAGACAAACAACAATTCACTCTCTCATTCACACCTAGGGACAATTTAGAGTTACCAATCAGCCTAACATGCATGTTTTTGGTCTGTGGGAGGAAACCGGAGCACCCGGAGAAAACCACGCATGCACGGAGAGAACATGCAAACTCCACCCAGACAGGCCCCTGGACCGGGGTTTGAACCAAGGACCTGCTCGCTGAGAGGCAGCAGCTCTACCAGTTGCGCCACCGTGCTGCTGTTAGTAAAATATTGAATAATAAAAAAATAAGTTAGTCATATAGCTTAAAAAAACAAATGTACACAAAAATATATAGAAATGTATCTTTATACCTGCAAAATATGTAGCTACTTTGTAAAATGTGTTCTTGAGGGAAAAGTGTAACCTGGATTAAAAGTGTGGATTATTGTAACTTGGATTAAAAGTGTGGATCATTGTAGTGAAGCCTTCATCTTCAACCATTGACAGAGACCTCATGTCAGTGATGATCATGTTCAGGATGCTTTCAGTGAAGACAGCTGCTGCTGGGGTGTCCAGGATGTCTGTCCATCATGAAGGATGTTGTAGTTTGTTGTTGTTTTCTGGAATGAGAGAGTAAATATGTTTTATATCATAATTTACAGCAACTCAAGAAACGCCTTGTTTCACTTAAAGTGTTCGGTTCAGGCAAAAGTAGCTAAAAGAACAATTAAACTCACACACACACACACACACACATAAAATACTTAATTACACACAATTGGGTAGATGTAATAAATTACTTTAATTCCTGTTTAAATGCAATTCATCGTGCCATACATGCAGTGTCTTCAGCCTTTGCCAGCAAATTAAAAGTTGAAAATCATTAAATTATCTTTTGTTAGATTTATTTATAAATCACATTTAAACACTTGTACCAATTAAATTAAATAAAAAGTAACACACACGTTCTCTATCACCGTCATTAATCAGAAAACAAACAAACAAACAGCATCTTCATCTCCAGAGAGACTGACGTTACGTTTTCTCTCTTGGAAACAGAACAAAGTGTTAAATTGTAGAGACTCACCTGCAACACGAGTTGGGAGTGAGACGAGTTGTATCTGCTGCAGCTCCTTCCTCCTCCTCGTGATTCCGACATGTTTACGTTTATCTCCGTGGTTCTCCCGTGTCGTGTCGTCGATTTTCAAAGCGGCATGCTTCTCATTTTTTATCTTTGTGAAGAGCTCCCACACTTTGGAGGACTTGGGCCGAACAGTTTTTGCTGCGTCGGTCATTTGTAAAATTTACTTATTTTGCTTTGAAAACACTCTGCTTTTCTTCCTCTGCCCCCCTCCAACTTGCGCTGCAGAGTTTTGTTTTTTTTCCAAACTTTATTCAGTCAGTCAGCATTGACAATGAACTGCCTGTGAACAAAACGAAACGGCTCCGCAGCACCGTGAAAGACACATAATCGCGTGACACAACGAATCGATAATGAAATTTGTTGCCAACGCTTTTAATCATCGATTTTTATCAATTTTTATCGATTTTATCGATTCGTTGTTGCAGCCCTCGCAGGGACTCTGCTTTTTGGCATCGGCGGGGCTCTGTTTTTATCGACTATTGAAGAAGACATAGGCAGCAGTTTCGGGCATGACAAAGCTTTCGAGTCAGTACGAAGGTTTGGTTCGTACTGTGAGTACTCTAAATCAGCTGATTTACGAGCTAAACCGTAAGGTGGAGGCGATTTATGAGAATCGCAGGCCACCTGCGGCTTCTGGGACTCATCATCATGGTGGGATCAACCTTGAAGGAGACTCATAACATGGATCAGTGGAATGGATTCCCATAATCAGGCCATTTTGAACCAGAATGTCCAGAATGACTCAAGGCTGTTGAAAACAATTTGTCTGCCTGAAGAAAATCAATAAACAAAGCTTATCTGAATCTGACTCCCCGTTGGCCTCGAAGACGAGCCGACTATCAAATTTCTCCTGGGTCACGGGTAACCAGGGATAAAAGCTTCATCTATCTCCCCCTCCCCGAGAACTTTCTGTGCAAGCTTATCAGAACTGCCGGCTGAAACAACATCATCAGAACTGTGGCCGATCTGAAAAAAGCTAATGGACAAATCTCAACACCTCGACGTCAAATGCAATCATGTTTTTAATTGTGCTTGCTGGTAGAGTTTTTTTGATGTCTCAAATCGTGTCCTAATAGGACAAGATGTGAAAGATCTTTTATTGTAATACCACTATCTATCCTCATGGTTCTTCCCCTTTTTCCTATCTAAGAATATTATTCTGAATAAGGATAAGAAAGACCGCGGTTAAAGCAGCAGCTTCGTGCACTACATCCATGTTCTGGACGACTGTACGTACATGTTCTCGTTATATCTCAGTGCAATGAAAATAAAACTTATTCTGATTTCTGATTGTTATCTTATCAGCTGCCACCGAAAGGCAAAACTATTATGTTTTTGTGTGTTTAATACAAAGTGTTGTGCTCCTAATTAGTGATAAGAGTTGAAGTCTGAAGAGTTCCTAGAATTCAATGTTAAATCAGTTTGTAACGTTACTGTAGAATATTTTATTGAATTGTTAGTTGCATCTCAATGAACAGTAAACCATTTAAGTAAAATACATCATTCACTGTTTGATAGTCTTTAATGTGCATCTACAAGTGTTTAATTTGTAATTCAAGATGACTGCTACAGTCAATTTAGGCAACACAAATAGAACTTTTATTCATTATACACCCATAACATTGTTTTCCAGGTTTGACCAAAACAGCCACAACTCAGTCATTTGTTAAAATAAGAACTTTGTAATAGAAAGTGACGAGTGATAGGCATTCTTACAAGCTATGGTGGGACTTCACTTGTAATGCTAAAGTTCATGCTCAATAATCCAGGTGAAAATCCAACAACTTTCAGTCAGGTCATCTGGACAGTTTCTTTTTTGCTGAGACGTTTCATCCTTCATCCAAAGGATTTGTACTTTAATTGTAATAGTTAATAAAAACTTTGAACTTTGCTTTATGCTTCAAGAAGAAGAAAAAAAGCAAAGATTTACATGCAAACTTTCGAGCAGAAAATAAAAGACTTTATTGTTTATTATACTCAAAACCAGACGAGAAAAAAGCAAAACTACCCTACAAGAATTCACATGGCCCTTCTGTCCTGAACATATTTTTTCTCCCTGCTCCTCAAGTTAAACCCCTCCTGTGCTAATATTCACCTTCACTGTTGTTGCACGGCTGGATGTTGCAGGACTGGTACCGAACCCTCTGTCCCTCACAGTACTTCCCTCCGTTCTGAGGCACTGGCTCGGTACATTCCCTGTAAGAGAACTCCACCCCACCACCACATGTCCTGGAACACTGCTGCCATGGTCCCCACAAGCTCCAGCCACCGTCCACAACCATCTGCGGTAACACAGAGAAAAACAAGAAGCAGTCAAGGCAGCTGGTTGGAACTCAGAGCCAAAGGAGAACTCAGCTGTGCAGCCTAAAACCACAGTCTGAGCATTTGGGTATGAGGCCCACAAGCGTGTTGGTGTGCAGACACTCAAAGCTAAATTTGTGTTGAAGTGCGGCATGTGCCTCCGGTCTGCCTCTTCCCACGCTCCTACCACATGTGTCACTCACTGCGTGTGGAAGCTGCCATGCTGGAAGTTTTAACGTCAAAACTGAATGTGTTTTTGTTTGCTGCTCTGGCTTTCTTTTTCAGAAATGTTATGAGTTTGGACCAGCAAACATAAAAAATACGGACACATCTGGATCCATACCACAGATTTCATGTACCACATGTGATGTGAATGATAATAAAACCTACTTGAACTTGATGATGTGTGTGTACGTATACCCATGTGGAAGATGATCTAGAAATAAAAATGTTAAAAGGCAACATAAAGCAACTGCTTGTACATATATGATATATAATAGTACATATAGAGTGGCTTGGAAAATTATTTATGTCTCTTGAACTTTTCCCTAATTTGCCATGTTGCAATAATACTATAGTCATGTTAAAATAATATGTAAAATATGCATTTTGAAGCTGTGCAGTTGATCAACAAGTGTAATATTGATCTTTATTCAAATACATTGTCATGTTCGGCCGTCAGGTGTGTTCGAACCCACGTGCTGGAGGATGACGAGGACGCTTGAGGAATAATAAAAAATATTTATTAAACAAAACAAAATCAAAACGCTGACAGGGCAGCTACTCACAGACTAATCGGACAGACGGAACGGAAGGCTGAACACAGCACCATAGAAGGACAATTCCGAGACAAAGACAAGACACCAGTGAACTGAATATATACACACTGATAAGGACAATGACAGACACCTGTGGTGATTAACATTAGACACAGGTGAGACAGGGGCTGAACACAAGGAGGGAAAACACAGAGAGCTGAATCAGGAAACAAACAGAGACAGGACAAAACCCCACAGACCCTACAGTACCCCCCCCACTCAAGGGATGGCTCCTGACACCCCAAGGACATGTGACATCCAGCTTTGGTGGGAGGCAGGCCAAAAGAGGCCAAGTAGACACAAGACCAAAAGAACAAAAAAAACGACAGGAAAACCTGGGAAACACAAGACACAAAAACCCAAGACCCCAACTCAGGGTCAAGGTGGAGGGTCAGGAGATCGTCCCAGGCAGGTCTAATGTTCAGGCGGTCGGTCCAGTGATCATCCACAACGAGGCAGGGGATCAGGAGGGCGGCCAGGAAACCATCCACCTTCAGGCCAGAACTCTGGCGCGCAGCCAGGGGACCATCTATCTCGGGGTAGTACAGGCATCCATCTATGCCCTCCTGGACTCAAGCAGGCGAGGACCTCTTCAGGCAGATCAGGGGGTGGACCAGGAGTGAGGACCTCTGAAGATGGGCCAGGGATGAAGATCTCTGAAGACTGACCAGGGACAAAGACCTCTGCAGATGGGCCAGTGACGAACACCTCTGAAGATGGGCCAGGGATGAAGACCTCTGAAGATGGGCCAGGGACGAAGACCTCTGCAGACGGGCCAGGATCTTCTGCGGTCGGGCCGGAGCGAAAACCTCAGGCAGGCCGGGATCTTCTGTGGTCAGGCCCGGAGCAAAAACCTCAGGTGAGCCGGGATCTTCTGCAGTCTGGCCCGGAGCAAAAACCTCAGGCGAGCCAGGAGTGAGGACCTCAGCCGATGAGCCAGGAGAGAGGACCTCAGCCGACGAGCCAGGAGCGAGGACCTCAGCCGACGAGC